GCATTGTATTTAATAATAAGAATAGGATATATTTATGAAACTTAGAATAGACCTTCAATGAGTTTGATTTACTAACCAGACCATTTAAGTCTTAAAATATCTAAAATGATCTCAATTCTTTAATTTCATATTTTTTATGAAATATTTAAGTTTATTATATGGATGAAACATAAATCTTAATATATTGACTGCCATCGATTCCTTTCTATTTTATTATATGGATGAAAGAAAAATCTTAATATATTGACTGCCATCGATTCCTTTCTATGCGTTCTCTATCATTCCTGGTTGGTCTCTTTAGTCCCATATCGGTAACGTGCGCAATAGAAAAGAGCGAAACGGGTATAAAATAAGAGGGATCTCTTACGTCCAAAGCATACCTTTCTCGGCCTTTTGGCTAAGATCAAGTGTAGTATCTGTTCTTATCAGTTTAATATCTGATACGTGGGTCATCGATCCACTATGATATTAAATTAATTTATTGTGGGGGAGGGCCCATCACAGTGGCTTGCCACTGGGGCTCTCGCGCGTCGCCTAGGCGTTGCACTATTGCCCAGGCCTGGCGCACCCTGACCAAACCACATGTAAATCTTTGTACGAGAGTATCTCAATTTTCTTTTGATGTTAAATATATCGATGGAGAAAGGGATTCCTAGTTTTTGGTGTTAAATATATCGATGAAAATGAAAGGGATTCCAAGGCAGAGAGTTTAAATATTCTGTACATTTTTATATGTATTGTGAAGATCTCATGAACCCGTGAGCAACACTGATTCCATGATTCAATGGCAAGTAAACCACAACGGAAGTCCGAGTTCTCAAGAAAAGAAGTTATAAGAGATACCAAACTTACAGGCCGCGTGGAGGGAGGAATCAGATGCACATGAACCCGTTCAAGCCATGGATCTATAGACAACCTGACATCCTTTATCCGCTCTCTTTAGTAAGCCTTCTACAGTTGGTTCTCTCTCAAGGCAGGTATGGCGGACAGACGAAGCCAGTCACAGCCATTTCGCTTCTGGCTGCCTGCCTGGACTCACCCGACAAGGAGTAGCACTCCGCGCCAACCCGATCCAACTCGACAGAAATCCCTGCGTCGCGATGCATCGCAGCCTTCGGATCATACAACATCCTCATCACCATCCTCGCCGACCACAACCCGAAGAGTTCCTCAACCATCACCACCACCGGCTTCGTCGCGAAACCGTCCATCATCTCGTCCCCAAGCCAGAAATGCAAATGAACAGCAGCGATCACGGCCTCAGTCCCCACAACCGTCTCCGATCAACTCAGATAAGCAAGCTGCAGTAGCAAGAAATGTCAGGTCCCAATCCGCATTACAAACTGCATCAACTCAGGTGAAGTCTCGGCTCTCATCTCAAGCTCTTGCACCCGACTCACAATCTTCATCACCTGCAAAGAGAACATCTCCTTCGAACCAGCCATTGTCATTGGCCCATGAATCCCAGGCAACATTAGCGTCCGCATCACCAACCATATTGCATCCTAAATCTCAGGCCCGTGCTATCCCTCTTGCAAAAGATTCAAATCCTAAGCCGACAAGAAACCACATTTTGCAGGAACCAAATTTGCCGCTTGTATCAACCAATTCGCTGGAGAATAAACCTCTAGAATCGTACTCCATCTCTGTACCCCAGCCGTCAACACCTAAAGAACAAAGAGAGAAGATTAAATTAGAAGAAAACGAGCCTTCTCAATCTCGAAAGTTGGAAGATACAAACAAACAAACTGCAGAAGAGAAGCATAAACTAAAGTTAACAACAAACCACCCTAAGGATCCCACCAAAGCCCCAAATTCATATTCAACACCTGAAGGGACTAATAGAGGCAAGCTTAGGACAACACCAGACACAGAAGAGAAGCCCTTCACTGGAGAACGCAACAAGTCGAAGGAACAGGGAGAAGTCAAGCAACTCAGCACGACATCTGAGAACAGCCTGATCACATCCCCCACACAAAGTGGATTAGTCTCACTATCCATTAACTCAAATGCAGAACACAGGAAGGATACCGATACTGCCGAGCATACAAAAGATGGTTCCACCAGAGAGGAACAGAAAATTGCAATTTCAAGTATCTCACAAGATTCATTCTATGATGGCAAGAGAGCCATGTTCAAGGGGGAGATCAAGGAAGGGCTTTCTAAACTGTTACAGAAGATAGGTACTGGATATTCTGGTGGGGTGAGGAATGGACTATCGACAAATGTACTTACTTTGGCTGGCAATAGCAGTGGAGCATCCATGATTATAGGTTATGAGGGTACCGATAGAGAGAATTTCTACCATGCCCACAAGGATCAAAAGCTCAACAAGGAGAAGGTTGATGCAAGAGGCAGTTGCAGTGAAGAAAAGTGGCAGCATAGTGGAAAGGGGGCATTTACAACCAGCATTAACAACAATGTGCAAAGCATCAACAACTCAGCTGTTGATGAAAGTTCCTGCAGTGTCAGAAACCCAGGCGTCCATTTGAATCTCTCAAGAACTAAGGAAACCTTGGTTTCCAAAAGAACAGTGGAACCCCTGGAGACTGAAAGGACACCTTCCAAGCCAATCCAAAGCCAGAAACCAACTCGTGAGCCCAGAATTAGAAGACGCTGCCTTCGGGCATTGCTTATGGAACCTAGTGAGAGTGATCCAGAAAATCCTGAGAAGCCCCAGCGTCATGGATGTCGTTACAGCTGTGAAGAGAAAAAGAAGTTAAAGGATGACAATCATGGAATGTCCACGACTAATTCTGGCTTGCAGAACAACTGAGAAGGTACAAGCAGAGGTCCAAACCAATAATCACAAACTATAAACGTTTACAATTTGGTTAGTTGAAACCAAAAGAGTGTGTTCCATGTAATGAAATTTTAGTCTATTTCAATGATTTTATCTCCATTCTTGCAAGGGCCTATTTTTTATGAATGAATATCAATTGTTGAACCTGTCATTTACAACTGCTTCATAATTTAAATATTATCGACCTAAAGAAATCAGTTTAATTAATGACAGCATGTTATTTGTAAATCGATTAAAAATGCTTAAATTAAGTATCAAAGTAATAAAAATGAAAGTTAAAAGTGAATGAGATGTTTCCATTAATTTGTAGACAATCATTGAATACATGTAATATCATAGAAGACTGAATTCCTTTTTCAAGTCGCCCATAGGGCTCCTTGTATTATTACTTCAACATTTACACTAATCTTTTATCCAAAAAATATTTAAGCTATTTAAAAAAAAATCTCATTGAAATTAACATAAATGTTTATACAGAGATTTTTAAAAAAGTTATGTTATACGTGCAACATCAAATAAGATGGTAAGCCTACAACATTGCTTTGCCCAATAAAGGTCAATGTTTCCATCGGTTGGCACCTGAACGGAGTAGCAACTCAGTTCAAGCGTTTGCAGCACTGATGATGAATAGAGGTTCTCTCTGCCTCTCAAAGTGAGATTCCCCATGTTTAGTAGATGGAAACCATCAACGTTCTTTCACAAACAGCACTCAAAATTCTCTCTTCATCTATGTGCTGCTTGCAACTTGTCCAGCATTAAAAAACAAAGTAGCTTTGACCAACTGAGGTATTGCTTTTCAAATTAAAAGAAACCTATATACTCTTAAACATAGATCACAATGTCCAATGAAAATGGTAGGAAGGTGCATATCATGGCAAATCTTGGATTCCAAGTCAATAAAAAAAGTAGTGAGGTCAGCTTACTTTGGAGTACATCTTAGCAATTAGAATGTTATCTTTGGATGAAACTAAGTTACCGAGCAAATAAAGCGAACGAAGAAAAAGTAAAATGCAACCTTCTGAACCTGAAGTTCTAGTGTAGTTCTTGAAATTACTTGCAGCAAAAGTAGAGCTGCATTAGGACACCATGGACTAATGGATCTTGATTAAAGTTGGCACAGCATTACTACTTAGTCTTCTGCACAATCTTCAGGAAATTCTGCAATCAGAGATATTATCCCAACATCCTCACAAGCCTTAATTTTGTTATGAACAAATGTTTGACAATGGCTTTTTGACCCACCAGTACCACACCTAGTCCACGGATTCTCTTGACGGTATTCTTCATATAGCGGACTTCTTTAGCTATATCTAATTCAACAATAAGAATAGACTGGTGAAACATGATTTTCGACAAAGCACATTACATGTTCAGGAAGACTATCAGTGAAAAATTATACTCCATAAGACAAACTGACCTGACATGATTTGTAAAATTTTATTCCACACTTAAGCCAGTAGCTTTATATTTGCGATCTTTAAGCAGAGAAGCAAGTTTAGAAGAACAATAGTATAAAATCTAAGGAACTTGAATAGCATACATGGTGCTCGAATAGAAACTACCAAATTATCCAAGGTAGCTAAATTAAGATCACACTAAAATGAAAAAGCAATCCTTTGTGTAGATCAAGAAAAAAAAGTTTCATGCAACTCTTATTGCTCGAGATAAACATTGCGGTCACATTTGTCATAGGCTGGAAAAAAGTTTTATAGGCGATTACATATTCAAGAATATATCCTAATCCACAAACTTCTGAAGGGTTTTATAAACATATTCTTGTATAGAAAAGCACCTTTTTAAGTCACGCAGCAAATATTTTTGATACAAATGCGAAAAACGATAATTACCTCTAAATTAATCAGATGGCCAAGGTTAGGTGTGCTATGTTAAAATCTGGTTTTTTTTTTATGCTTGATCCCAAAATACGTGTGCGCGGAGGAAAAATCGTCCTACATCCAAGTGACGATCAACTGTTTGTGTTTATGACCCAACCAATTAACATACAAGTTCGGGTTACCACCTCTGTGTTGGGATTCTGCACGAGTAGGGGGGCGAAGCAGAGGGGAGCTGGATCTGGCAGTCGTCCAGGCGTCAGAAAGATCGAGCCTCAGGATGTAGTGGTCGGTCCTCTTCTTGGTCGGCGATCACTTCGGTGATGGTTCTGGTGGTGGTGGGAAGCGAGATATTTGGACGCAATAGGGGCCGATGACAACTGACGTCATCTGCTCCCGGGTGACGTCTCTTAGATCACGCAGACCAAGGAGCTGCTGGGTCATCTGCCTCGTTTGACCTGATAGCGCCTAGCCGAGGCAGACCAAAACGCCCACCGAGGCACGTCGCCATCTTGTAGGAGTCCGGTCCTTCACGCAACGCGAACATCGGTGTCAGACGTTATCCCAGGTACGATCCTGCTCCCTGCAAGCGGGCACAGGAAACGGTGACCTTCCCTATAAAAACCCTCATGTTCGGAACGAAAAAGAGAAGAAGATTAGATGAGAAAAATCCCGTAAGACTATCGATTAACTTGATCGTCGAAGGGGTAGAGTTCCCTCCAGGAGAAAATAATCGCCCCGTCGTGATCGGACCATCGCAGTCGGTTACCTCAGTAGTCTCAAGGATCATTCAGGAAGATCTTCAATCATTCAAACCTGAACCCAACCGTGTTGGCCCCGAGGCCACGACGTAAAGATGTTTACACAAACAACAACCAAGCCGGCTCTCGTTTCGCATATTTCTGCAACGCGACGAACTCCTTCTCGGGTTGGGAATCGGATGACGATGGTCGAAGAAAACGCCGGGCGACTCGCGTCGGGTTGGCGTCGTCATCAATGTGTGAACTTAGAGCTGGACGCCAGCTATTGGTGCACCGTGGGCGCTTTGTGCGTGAGACTGTACACCCGATCGACGCAGGCCGATCAAACTCTCTCGTTCAGGTGCGACCACCTGTCTCCTCCGACACAGGAAACAGGGTTTTTGGAGCCTATGCTCTGACTCGATGTGGACATCGTCCCTGTCATTAAATTTGTGGACTTTTTCTTGGTTTTTTTTTTGTCGCCTTTTTTTTGTACGATATATTACTAAATCTTATTTATTATTTCCTGAGTGATAAATATATAATGTTAGTGATAAATCCTGATAAAAAATATATGTATAATATATAAACGTTTGTTTATGGTCTCTATTTTGGTGAACATTGCGGTAGGCTATGATCAAAGCTCAGACATGGGTCTTCATCGATCCAATCAAGAAAAGAATGGAATCAGCAGTCTGCAAAGACAAGCAACTCAATCTTCTTAAGATAAAAGTTCATCAAGGAGACTCAGAATCCCATTCTGCCAATGAAACTAAATCATGCATCTGTGCTGATGCAGCACAAGAATCTGATACGGCAGAGATCGCTACCTAAGCAATCAGGACTTCCTTTTCACTGAACTCACTCACTCTCTCTGATGCTGAGTTCACAGGTTTCTTCTTCACCATCTCGCTGCCATGGCCTTCGGCTGTACGGAAAGGTATCAGCTTCTTCTCGCAGCACGACCGGATTGCTTCGTCGAACATGTCCTCCATCGTGTACTGGAACTTGTACCCCAGCTCCATGAGCTTCTTCGAGGAGAAGTGCACCCTTAAGATGTCTTCGTCGATCCCTTCAAACCTACAACGAATAGCTTTCTTATTTAGATAGATCTTTTCTTGCTTGCATCTCAAGTGGTTTGGGTGAGTATGAGAGCACTTGCTTTTGAGGGATGATGTACTGGGGGTATCGTTCCTTGAACATCTTTGCGAGGTCGTATATGGTGGCGTCATGGGAGGAGCAGATGTATCTTCCTTGTGCGTTCGGGTGCTCGTACAGGAAGATGTGGGTGTCACACAGGTCGTCCAAGTGGACTAGTTGAACTTGCCTCAAGATCGAGTAGTGAGCTTCGTTTCCTGCTTGCATGCATGGATGATGCAGTCAACAGCTAAGACATGCAGGGCTGATGATCCTGTCGAAAGTACCGCTGCTAAATGTTTCTGCAAGTACCTGTGATGAGTGACAGCGCAGTGATCATACTAGGCGGCATGGTGGTGGTGATGAAAGGACCGACCACCAGAGTCGGGATGATGCTGATGAAGTGAATGCCGTTCTCCTTCGCGAACTCCCACGCCGCTTTCTCAGCCAGTGTTTTGGACACGAAATACATCTGCAGTAAAAGATCATTTCCTTTTATTCTCCCCCATTCAAATTTTGCTACAAGCAGAAGATGGGAGTGACATACGTACGTACCCATCCTGTCATCTTGACGCGGCGGCAGAACTCCATGTTGCTCCAGGAGCTCTCGTCGTACTCCGGCTGCTGGTGCTCCTGCACGTTGACGGTGCCCGCCGAGGAAGTGAACACGACGCGCTTGACCGTGCCGGCTTCCTTGCAGGCCCTCATGATGCTCAAAACCCCATTAACGGTGGGCTTGATGATCTCATTCTACAAGCAACTTGGACTTGAGCATATACATAGAGAGAGAGAGAGAGAGAGAGAGAGAGAGAGAGAGAGAGAGAGAGAG